AGTAGATGAGAGAAGGGGGTGGGGAAGTTCCCATTTCTGAAAGCCCTATAAGCTCCTTGATTTAACTATATAGAGAGAATAATGAGCGTCTCCAAGCTCCCCCAACAAAACTTTATTCACAAAAAGCATGTTTACCATTTGCACATATACACAGTCTTAAGGACTCCCTCTAGTCATGGATTAGCCCACTCCCCTCTTCCTATAAGAGACCTATTGGTCCTTTCCGCATCACTGCTGCTTCACGATGAGCTTCCTATAGACCCAAACAGGTCTTTCATCTCCCGGTTAAAGTTGCTCAGTCCTTCTTTTGCTCATCTGTGCTCATTTAAAATGCCAGTTATCTTATTACATTTGGGGAATAAGAGATTGCACCACAGCTGTGGTTAAAGTCTTGCTCAACAAGTGCAGAACAGATAATGTTGGGAAACCCACTTGATCTCTTGCATTAACGTCAGCAGAGCACTCCACCGGGTCAGGAAATAATCAGATTTTATGAATGAGTGCATCAGTTTTGTGAATGCTTCTCACTTCCTGCAAATGATCTTCTGATCTTCTTTGTAGCGTCATCATTAGATGAGTGAGTTTGTGTCATTCTGCTGAATGGAAGTGCATCAGCAAAGAACAAACACACCCAACTTCCCCTTATTCATCCTCCCCTTAACGCAACAGATGTTGCAGCTCGCTGCTGTTTTCTTTCCCATGGAGCAATGTGGTTCCACTTTTGTTTATTTATGCTCTCGTTCCCGTCCTTTTCTTGAGTGGATGCGGAAACTGGATGTGTGCGCGCGTGGAGCTGCGGTTTTTTAGGCGGAAGACTTCACAAAGAGATTGCAGAAGCTCTGCCATGCCACCCGATGGGGTTGCTTGACCCCATTGTAAACCTGGAGGGTCGACCCCTGACCTTTTGAGAAGCGATGAAATGGAGGCAAGCCTCTCGTTTCCCTCTACCGGGGCTTCAGCCTCCCCTGGTGGGGCGGAAGCATTGTTAATGAGCTCTAGAATGGGTTTTTAATGATACCGTGGCTTTTGTTTGAAGAGTAAAAGTGAGCATGCAAGAACAGAAACAGGTGTCAACACATGACTGGACAGATGGCAACAAAAGGGGCTGATCCCATCATTAATAATGGCAAAGATTTTGAAAGAGGTCAATGTGTCACATAACTGCCGATCACAATTTCGTCCACATTTCTTTTCTCAATCAAGTTAAATGTCCCTGGATTTTCAGAATATTGCAATCACTGACATGAAATATGAAATTAGACTGATGTTAAAATTACGAAAACTTTCAAAATCACATTTACCCCAGTGTCCTTCTTGTGCTTCAGTCGACTAGATTTGAGACCTTGGCTACAGTTTTACCAATACGCTCAAGGAAACAAGGCTATGTCATAACTCACTACCAGCTACTGCTCTTCCTCCATCCTTCTTCCTGCCTTTTCCTGACCTTTCGTTTCCTTTGCTGACTAAGGGGGCTGCTGGGTGACCCCTGTTAACATGCGATGGGATGTGGCGTTTGGGAACAGGAAGCGAATAGGAAGAGCAACTCCCACATCGTGAAGAGAGCGCTGTTTGTTCGTACCTTGAACTTAACGTGTCATTTACGGTGACGACATTTATCATGAGGTATTCTCAGCGGCATTGTCCTCGGGAACATGGGGTTGTTTAGGATGTGAGCAGGGTGGTCTGCAGAGAAGTGCTAAAAAAAAGGCCAAGGGTCGACGTGGGCGAAGTCGAGGCTGGAACATTTTCGATGTTCTTTTGTAAGTCAGACACCAGGGATTGCATTACAGTAATCATTTTCTCTAACTCGCATACAGAAAATTAACAGCATATAGGATGAAGATACACCATGATATCAGTAACAGCACATTGACACGACYACACACCCCGACCTGCCTGACGCCTGCCCCTCTATTCGTTGCGTCCTCATAAGCTGAGTGTATCATGTCCCCCCTTCTATTTTTACCATCAGGTGCTGAAAGCCTCTGGAAGCTCCTTGTCAATGGGCATCCCATTCCACCGCCAACAGCGTGTCACCATTTATTAAGTCATCGTTACTCAGGGTCCGCTCCAGCTGCCGGGGTGCCAACGGGTGTCGCAAATAGATCGCCAACGATAGGCCAGGCTGTTGCTGCACTGCCTGAAGAGCAGCCCGTAAAGGCGTGTTGCAGCACATCTCACTCCACCGGCGGGGATGGGTGCAGGTAGTCAGGCTGCTGTTAGCTCGGCTAATGCAGACAAATGGAAGGAAGGTCGCGCACCAGGGCAGAGCAGAGACAGAGGTCGGTTAGAGACAGGCTGAGTGAGTGTCTGTCCGCACCTCTTTTTGTTTTGGGTAAACAGCTAAAAAGGCTGTTTAGACTAAAAGRGTGATGAGATATGAGGCTGGGGGACCCCGTGGTTGTGGAAGTGAGTGCACAATGGAAGGTGCACGTAGGCACACGCGTGAAGACTCACTTAACAAGCAAACATTTAAAACCATCAGCCGTGATGGAAGGTTGGATAACTACAAGAAATATAAACAGCTATTAATTTTCATTTTTTTTCTTATCCCCAAGAGCTAAAACATTCGTGTAACACTAATAAAACTTTACATAAGTTTTATATCTACAAACATACATGT